ACACTAAGGTTAACCAGGAGAAATGTGACCCAAGTAGGGGTCTCCAGAAAAAGTGGTGCCATACGGTGACGCCCCTTTTTTTGCTTGTCCAGTCAGGTGTGWCCCTTTAAAAAAGTCTGTCAAATCAGGTGTATCGCTTTAGAATCGCCTTTCGTTGGGACACGCCCACTCTTCCCCGCAGAGACCCCTACTTGACCATGATTGGTAGAGTTCATAATGTGGGCAGATTTTGTTCTAACTATGACTGGTGCAGTTTGGAAAAAAGATGAAGGTTGGGTGTGGGCAGAGCTTGGCAAAGCCGTTATTGGTTAGATTGACTTATCTTGTGGGTAATTTAAAAAAGGAAATAATGTAGGGATGCAAACAATTATTCGACTTACAATTAATTGTCGAATAATGGTTTATTAGATTAAAATTTCTTCCATTCGATTAATTGAAAGCATCAGTTTAAACCTTATTTCAGTGTAGTTTTGCCTTCATCCAGTAGAGGGCGGCTCTGCTCTCACAGCCTGGCCTACTCTACCCCGACCTTATGTTGAGCTGAGCAGGCCGCCTTCATGGGGGCGGCATCATAAACACCCAAATCTTGTTTAGTTTTAGTTGCGATACAACARTAATAATGGACTAGTTATCAATTAATTGTTAGTCGATCAATAAGATCAGTCAACTTTAGATCAATCCATTACTTAATAACTTGCATCCCTAAATGGTAATAGTAAAAATACTGTGAAAATGTAAACATAATTTTGTGCAGCTAGCACCTCCCTGTCTCAAGTTATGACCAATATTAAGTCATATTTTTAAATGCAAATCTTTATACAGGCTGGTTAGGGCTGTCCTTACCCAGGCTGATTGTGACACGCCCCTCCACATGCACAGCATTCAAATTTTGTGGAGCTAGGACCTTCCCGTCTCGAGTTATGACTAAAATTTGTATTTTATTTTAAAAATCTAGGCGTTTTCTGGCCGTTTTGACTGAGCTACTCCCAGTTGCCCCCAGCTTCTTCAAACCCCACCCAAAAAAGTCAGTCCAACCAATCACGTCTTTAACAAAGTCCTCCCACAAAACAAGAAACTCTTGAATGAAGATGAAAAAAACATAAATCCATCTGCAGACAAACAGGGACAGATCTGTGGACAAATAATGGCGAAAAAGAGTCCCGCCGTGTACTGCAGTGGGAGGGGCTTCCCAGGAGCTTGGGTTGKTGTGTGTCTATAGCTGCGCTTCCATTGCAAATGTGCGCAAAACTTTGTCGATGTTCTGTTAATGTCAAAAAAACAGTTTCGTAATTGCGGTGTTTCCATTAAGTAAGAAATGCTATTAAAGTCACGCGTGAATACGTTTGTTGTAGCAATAAGTCATTACAAACATGGCGGCGATGGATGTAAACACATAGCATGTTGCTACCACGACACTAGCGCTCATCATCAGAGGAGACGTCGGCGTCTTTTATCGAGGCTTTCCAGAGACAAGTCCCTACTTGGGAGTGGCTACGTATGCTGTGTTTTTGGGAAATTGTAGTCGGTGAGTTTACTACTTTATACGATATTACTACTACTTCTACTTCCTGTTATCTTCTTCATCATCGTCTTTTTCACCAGTAGAAACAGACGGTTGTTGATCACGTGACTCCTGTGATGCGAAAAAAGTGTTTCCATTGCAGTTTTGCGAAAAACACCAATTTCGATACGGCTGAAAAACCACCTCATCGTAGCGCAAAAACATTTTGTCGATAAAAGGAAGTTTTTTYGAAATTGACGCGTTTCCATTGAGCAAATTTATTTTCTAAATTCTAATTTGCGCATTTTCATGGTCAATGGAAACGCAGCTTATGTGCGTCAACCAATCGGCTTGGGATGGAGAACGTGGAGGAGTGATCCGTGAAACACAAAGAGCTCTGATATCTGAGAATCATGTGCCGTTAGTTCAACCACGACCTTATTTTACTCAAATATGGGCAGTTTATCTAGTTAAATACATTAAAATATCTCATTTAAAAGTGTTCTGATGTTGCCAGCGCAGTGTTGGGTCAACGGCGCAGTTTGAAGCACACGTCTCCCATTACGAGGGGAAAATCCAGATTAGTTTCTGTCCTGGACCTGTCGCCTCAGAGGAGGGGTAGGAAACAGGAGAAAACTGTTTGTGTTGTTGCTTTCTGAAGAAGTTATCAGCTGTTTTTGTTTACCTGATCCTTGTGAAGCTTTGGGAAATATTTGTCGTTGTCTCTGAAGATCTTTCAGGAATCAAACTTTTTATTCAACGAATACTTTGATTAAGTTTGTAGTTATTTTCCTGGTGTTGTTTCTTTTTCCTCGGCGGTTGTAAAAAAAGTGTTAAAAGACTGAGTTTATTACTGAGAATCAATCAGGCTGGGTGCTACCTGGCTGTCATTAACAGCAGCCCCGGGCACATCTCCCAGTGTGACTTGTGTCGAGCTCAGTTCAGAACACCACCTCACACGTTCTGACGAAACCGTGCTGCAACCGCAGAGGTGTCTTTGTCAGAATTAACTTCTCCGTGTCCCGTTTTTACTTCCCAGTCAGGAGAAGTCCAGCCACAGCGGAGGAGAGTGGAACCAAACCCTGAGGGGAAAGCTGCCCGCTCGTCTGTCCTGCTGGTGACATAAGAAACGTCAGGAAACTCCCAGCTTTCTTTATCTGATGAAATTTACAGCAATCCGYCCGTCAGTCAGGTTTAACAAACACYACCAGGGTTTATAAAAGTTACAGAARACWAATTTTAGKTTTTTGTTTTTGTGTTAAYGCTTCAAAGAATTCACAATATTCAGATTATTTTTCTTCTGTACAGATTTTAGCAGGTATTTCGTTCTGCTGTTTTTCTGCTATTTCAACAATTCATACATCAAAACGTTCAGCTCTTTCAGGACATTCCAGCTGTGACTTTCAGTACTTCAGCTATTTATACTTTTTTAACTATTTCACTTTTCTGGACATTTTTTTTTCTATTGAAAATGAATGGAGCTGTTTTCAACTTCCTTAAAATCCTTCAAAATGTTTCTAAATTTTTGTTCTGGTTCTGCTATTTAACTTCCTTCTGCTAATTTTAGCTTCTTATTTTGCCATCCATCCATCCATCCATCCATCCATCCATCCATCCATCCATCCATCCATTTTCTTCCA